ATAAACACATGCAATGCATTTTCAATTAAACTCTTTATAATTCTAGAAGAAAACATTTTCTGACAAAACCATAAGAAGAAAATTTCACTAGCCAGACTGTATTCCATAGTTTCAAATTAAGAGAGAACAGAGACATTGTGTGCCACACAGACCTTCCCCATGTGCCAAGCTGTCCGGGAGAACATCACTTATAAATATCCGACTAATATGCTGATGCTCGTCCACCTGCGCTGTAACTGCAAACCCTAGGAATGAAAATAAAAGAAAAAAACAAGTCAAAATTCTCCATACCAGTTAATTTCTACAACTCAATCAGCAGTATTTCCTTACACATTTATTCTCATAAGTACAGTATGTTGAGAAAGTCTAAACTGCAACTATTTTGAAAGCACAAATACCTAGCTGGGGCAGAAAAAAGGAACATGTCAGATCAGAAGGCTTAAGAAATCTGAGTACACAACCATATTCAAAAGTTGAGACAATATACCTATGTTGATAGCAGCATTATTCACAGCACACAAAGGATGGAAACAAGCCAACTGTCCACTGACAGAAGAATGGATGAACAAAATGTGATACATACATACAGTGGAATATTATTCAACCTGAAAAAGGAAGGAAATTCTGACACATGCTATAACATGGATGAACCTTGAGGACACTATTTCAAGTGAAATAAGCCAGTCACAAAAGGACAAATACTGTATAATTCCTATATGAGATACCTAGAGTAGCCAAACTCATAGAAACAGAAATTAGAATGGTGGCTGCCAGGAACTAGGGGGAGGAGAACATGGAGAGTTGGAGTTTAATGGGTACAGAGTTTCAATTTTACAAGATGGTAAAATGTCTGGAGATGGATGGTGGTGACAGTAGCACAACAATGTGAAAGTACTTAATGCCACTGAACCACACACTTAAAAGTGGTTAAGATGATAAACTTTGTTATATGTATCTCGCTACAATTAAAAAAAATTTTTTTAAATTTCTTAAGTTGAGATCAAACAATAACCTCATTGAAATAAATTAAATTCAGTTCAATAAATATTTGTTGAGAAACAACTATGTACGGGTTAGGCATTTTAAGAAGACGAAGAAATGCTTGCATAGACACAGCACTTGCCCTAAAAACCCAGTGCAAAACCTAGACTCCCCTCCTCTAAATGCGTCTCCCTGACTTGGACAGTGCCCTCCTCTCTGATGCCACAGTTGGGAGCACATGTTTCCATGTCTTGGTCCCATAACACTAGGAGTTCTTTGAGGATAGGAAGAGTGTCGTGTTTCCTTATGTCTCTTCTGTGCCTCAGGCAGAGCCTGGCAATATCTTTGCAGGTATCTTCATTCAGTTATTCAAATACAAAAAGGAAGAACAAATGGCAACCAAGGACAGCAGAGTGAAGTCCAGAGAAGCAGACAAAGGCTAAAAGGACTTCAAAGGAAAAACCAAAATAACATTTGGGTCAAAACAGATTATGTTAATTAAGAAACAAACAACAAATCATAGAAAGGAAATTTCAACATATGGTTGTCCCTCAGTATCCATGGGGAGATTAGTTCCAGGACACCTGCCCCCCACTTATGAATACCAAAATTCACAGGTGCTCAAGTCCTTGATATAAAATGGCGTAGTATTTGCATACAACCTATGCACATCCTCCCATGTGCTTTATATCATCTCTAGATTACTTATAATACTTAATACAATGTAAGTGCCATGTAAATAGTTGTTACACTGTATTTCTTAATTTGTATTATTTTTTGTTGTTGTATTATTTTTTATTGTTTTTTTCCTGATTATTTTCAATCCAAGTTTGGTTGAATTCACAGATGTGGAATACATGGCTATGGAAGGCCAATTGTATTATAATTTTAACATATTATAAACTTTAACACATTATCAACTTCAGTCATTTTAAGGAAAATAATTATGCTATATGAATATACTTAAGAATGTTCTTTCTATGGAGATATTTACCAATCATTAGCTAATCACTGAGTTTCTATAATAAAAGACTATAAAAGACAGAAATGAACTTTAAGACATGAGCACAATCTAAAAAGAGCTTACAGCCAAATTTAAATGCAGGCCAACAAAAATGTGAGAATTAGTAAGAGGTGATTTTCAGAAATGCTGACCCTTAATTGTTAAACTCAGGGAAGAAGATAAGCAAAGCTAAAGCAATCAGATAAGGCTTCTTTAATAAAGTTAGACATTTAGTTAGTTCTTGAAGGAAAGGTAGGATTTATATCATAAGACAGGAGAGATGGGGGAGGGGGAGAAGAAGGGAGTGAAGGTTAGCATTGCAGGTGGGTAAACGGAAGCTAAGAACAAAGACACTGGAGATGAAAAGAACCAGCATGAATCATGAGTTAATCCGCTCAGAGCAGCACCTGGCACAGTGACTTCACCGTAAGTGTTCTTACTACCATTATCACTATTTTAAACTTCTACATTTAGTACTTTTAAGCACTTTGGCATTTTCCCCTAATATTGATACATATCTGTTTAGACTGCTAATATAAATAGAAATGAAGGAAGTTCAGAAACTCGTCATATTTTCTGAGAATGTGAACGCAAAATTAGGTCCAAAGATATTGAGGAAAACAAGGCAATGACGAACAACACAATTCTCTGAAGAAGGGTTTCCTCATGCTTACCAAAGTCAGACATACTCCCAGTCTTTGTGAGCTGCACGTCATAAATACTTAGTGGAAAGACTTCTATTTCATCATGGGAAAACAAGGCAATGACGAACAACACAATTCTCTGAAGAAGGGTTTCCTCATGCTTACCAAAGTCAGACACACTCCCAGTCTTTGTGAGCTGCACGTCATAAATACTTAGTGGAAAGACTTCTATTTCATCATAAACCTACAAAAGGTGAAAATATCAGAATCAGAGTATCTGATGTTACAACATATCTTGGAAAATTATTTTGACACTTTTTTAAATAATGAAACAAAAGAAACTTTTTACAAGATACTCTTTATATGGAGACTGTTTTCAAACTAGATGCCAAATATAAAGAGAATTTTCCCCCAAAATTACATTTTTAAAATCAAAAGGCCATGATGTATGGTTCAAATTGCCCTTTCTACAGCAAATGCACACTTGCCTGTTCTTGCATGTATTCATATGCTGCAGGAATACAGTACTCAGTGTTGTCATCTACTAATTTTCTAAGTTGTAGGCCATAACGGCTGGGTTCCAACTGTCTCATCTAAAAAAAAGACGACAGTTATTCAGATTTTAAATGTTCTTTCTAAATTCATCATTGTTCAGTAGGCTCATTAAAAACTGAAGTAAAAATCTCTAAAAGAATACTACATACAATTTCCTGAGTTTAAACCTATATAAGAGTTTAAATTTAAATGTGGGGGGAAAAAAGGAAAAATTAATTATTTTTAAATAAGCTTTTCTCTAAATGATATTGCTTATCACTAAAAACAAGAGATGCATTTTTTAAAAGAGGTTGTGGTAGAATATATCTGATAGTAGAATATATCTTATCATCTCAGCAAATGCTCTCTCTTTATATGTTGGTTGTACCTAACTCCAAGTTGTTTCCTATTACTAAAGGAGAGAATTTGTAAAATGTGAATAAACTGCAGATTCTACAGACTTCAGAATTTGGAATTTCTTAGTCCAAAAACTTTCCAAAAGAAAAATGTATACACACACTTACACACACACAATCTTTTCTCTCTCTCTCATACACATACACACTGTCAACAGTGAGAAATTTGTCTCAGGCCTATGCCCTGAGTCTAACTGACCCACTACTTCTGTCACCCTCCATCACTTGGAAAATTTACCAGTTTAATAACTGATGTCATTGGTTTATAACAACATTGTTGGTTTTCTGGGGAAAAAAACCTTATATATTAGAGCAAAAAGAAATAAGTCATAAGGATATAAGCAGCATGTATAAATGTATAATATCCTAAAGCTTCAAGTCAAAGTGACAAAGGAGGGCTAAACTTAAACATTATCCACATACATTAAGTGTATGTGGTAAAAAACATTATCAAACCCTACATGCCTTTTTCACCATTCCACATATGATTATATTTTCTCTGCAAAATTAAAAATACTCCAGCTCTATTACGCCACCCGGTGGTCTGAAAGTTTCTGATCTGATACTGAATATATTTCATCTCTTTCAGCATGCTCTCTTAAGATTTATCATAAACTTCTTTTTCAGATTGGGAATAAAATCCAGTTTAAATAATGAATAAAACATTATCTCATATCAATCTACATGAAGCAACTGTGAATGATATGAAGTTACTTGTCTAATCTAGAGAAACCTGGAAAAACTATTTAGAATTAAAGTACTTGAAAGTTTATGCCACCTTCTTATAGAGCACCATCTCTAAGTAACCCAAACAGCAACAGACTTCATGATTGTTCTAGATAAAAAAGTACATATAAAATTTCAACAGAATAGTTAGGGTTCTTCTTTAAGGCATAAGATCATGATGTAACTCATTCTTCTAAACGACTGTGAAGTAGAATGCAAATTAATGTATATGCTAATATACATGTTAATTAATAAATATGCTAATATGTTCCTTAGCATAAAAAGCGAGGTCTTAAACACTACACAAATTTAGAAGATGTAGGAGTGCAACATTAATGATTATTTCTATTCAGTAGTATATTTCTGTAGCAAAATCCATTACCTTGCATGCCAAATTCAAAATATCTTCTACTCTGTGTTCTGGCTTGATCATTATAGTAACTCCTTTATTATCCCGAAAGTGAATATAAGTCTGGTTTTCCCACGTGTTGTCTCGGGGAACACCATCTACTGTTGTACCATATATATTCACAAGTTCATCAACCTGTTTTTAGAAGCCAAAATAAAATGCAGACAAATTTGATAAATAAAGGAAAAAATATCCCCTTAACTCAAAGTATTTTCAGACAGCTCTTTCACATTCCTCACATCACTGGCTTCTCACAACTCTCTGGGGCAAACAAGCTCAGAGTTCCCTCACTTGGTTTACACAGATGAAAATGAAGCCCTGTGAGGCTGAGTGGAACTCAGCTGACTCCCCAACCTGTGTTCTACCCACCATGGCATTTTGCCACTTTGACCCAGTTAGAATACTGCAACCCATGTAAGGGCTGCTTACTACCCAATCACTCCTCTAGAGCTGTGGTGTGCATCTAAGCTACAACCTCTTCCCAACTTCCAGATGAATTCCAGACACTCATCCATGGCCAGTGACACATGCCTGCCTCCTAACCCTGAACTGCACTTAACGTAATCCAAGCGTGATTCTCCTGTCTCTTATTTCTACTTGTTTTTTAAAATTAACCACTAGCCCTGGGGAAATCTTATCTCTCTTTCAGTGTCACATGTAGATACTCTGTTGGAAAATTATCTCAAAACATACCACTTTTAGAAAACCTTTCCCAAAGAAGTTTAGTTTCCTAAACTTCACACAGCAATTTGACAACTTCATGCAAATATGTATTTCTATAATTTATAACAAATAGTTAACATTTCTTAAGCAACTCAAAAATGTATTTCTTTGGCTAGGTTCTCACATTAGCAGTGATAAAGAAAAGATTTGGGGCAGTTGAAATCAAAAGTCATAGTCTCTACCACCTGCGAAGAGTAGTCTAGAACAAGACAATTTACCTTGTTAATAAGCCTTGGCTCCTATTATGTAAAACGGGACATTACTAATATAATTACTTAAGTTTATTAATTAGCAATACAAGTTTTTGTGAGCAAAGAAGGTCATATATGTGAAAACATCTTACACACCAGACTATCACATTATTTACTATTCGTCATACCTTAAAGTTATCATTGATGAGTGATTTTACTCTGAATTCTATGCATTTTTTAAAAACAAAGCAAAAGATCCTCCTGTATAGGAATTAAAAACTAGGATATAGTAGAGAATTAAAAAAAAAAAAAAACAAGGCTAGGCAAAGCAAAGGAAGAATCAATCTTTCCATGTCATCTTTTTGAAAATGTGGTGCTCGACTTTGAAGTGACATTTCTGGATCTGTCATGGATCTGTCACTTTCAGCACATTTTCCTGGAAGAATGATCACAGCCAGAATGAATATCCCCCCACATGTCATCGTGAAAGAAAAAAGGGAACAGAGGAGCAGATGCCTGGAGCCAAGGATGCCGGGAACCAGCCTGGACACTCTGTCCTGAAGGTTCCTATCTCACATGATCACATTTTTTTTCTGATTCATTCTCCCAGGTAGTTCTTTTCCTCTGGGCAGTGATTTCACCTAGGTGCGTTAGCAAAAAAACAGATGCTGCCACAGTTTGGCCCCACCTCTCAAACTATGCTTGTTGAGAATTAACTAAGCTCCCAGCAGAGGTCACTGTGGAGTAAGAAACCACACAAAGAGGAAGACCAAGAGGAAGTTAAATAGTCCCAATTACTGCTGCAGAGCAATTTAGTTCTGCACTTTTGGAGAACAGGAAAAACGTAAGTGGGACGGACAGGTAGGGAAGGGACATGAGAAATTAAAATTCACGACTATGTCCTGGCTGCCCTCTTGTGCCCATCATAGGAAGATTGCAGTCCACAGGGCCAAATGACATGCTGTCAGTTTACTCACTACTCACAGACACCCTCTCAGGTAGGCACCATCATCACTCTCCACGTAACAGGAGAGAAAAATAAGGCTCAGAAAATTCTAGAGCCTTGCCCAACTTCACACAACTAGAGACTGTGGTACTGTGGGAATCTGAACCCTGGAAGTCTGGCTTGAGCCTGTGCTCACCATCACTACACTCTACAGAAACATCAGCCTAGGGCAGGCTAGTTAGCTCAGCTGGTTAGAGCACAGCCTTATAACACCAAGGTCATGGGTTCAGATCCCAGTATCACAAAAAAAAGAAAGAAAGGTCAATCTGGTGGTTAACTCCCCACAAAATGGGTGCAACCTAAATTCTTTTCCATTATTCTACTATCTACACCATGTTCTGGTTGAACAAAATGGCTCACCTGACATTCCCTAAAAAAGATTGTCACTCTCCTGCCTCCAGACCCATGTTCATTTCAATCTCCTTTGCCTGCTTACCCTTCCTTAAAGCTTCAGTGCTGGAACCACATGCAGTTGTCCCTCTCTCAGGATCTACAGGGGACTGGTTCCAGCACCTCCCACGGATACCAGAATCTACCAAAATCCACAGATGCTCAAATCCCTGATATAAAATAGTGTAGTATTTGCATGGAAGCTGTGCACATCCTCCTATATACTCTATATATCTCTAGATTACTTATACCTGATACAACGTAAATGCTATGTAAATAGTTGTTATACTGCAATGTTTTTTTAATTTGTAATTTTTTTTTATTGTGGGTTTCCCCACCCCCCAAATATTTTCAATCCGTAACGTTAGTTGAATCTGTGGATGTGAAACCTGAGGATACGAACAGTACACTGTATATCCTGCAACCTTCTTTCAATGTTACCCTTTCTCTTATGAAGTCTCTCCTGTCCTGCAACCTCTACCCACATTCCATTCAGTTAGATGAGTCTACTCTCTTATGTCCCTGGTATAGCATTTAGCAAAGCCCAGCTCACATGATGGTCATTTTTACGTCTCCCTGGCTCACCCCACCATGATAAGATGAATGACAGCAAAGGCTCTGAGTTCTCATTCTCTCTCCTTCAGCCCTTAACACAGTGCATCCCAAACCCAGAACACACCGAACACGTCTCCCTGGCTCACCCCACCATGATAAGATGAATGACAGCAAAGGCTCTGAGTTTCTCATTCTCTCTCCTTCAGCCCTTAACACAGTGCATCCCAAACCCAGAACACACCGAACACATGGTGCTAAGTTAGATACAGCTTAAAATTCACAGTCATACACAGGAATGAAAGGTAAAAGCTGTCCATTTTCAATAACTTATTCAGATCTATTTATACAGTTTCAAGTTTTTAGTGCTCCCTAAAATTTCAAGAAGAGAAATTAACAGATTATTGGAGGAAAACAAGACCTGGACAAGAGCAAAGTGTGCAGGTAAATAGAGGGATGGAAGGAAAGACAAAAGAAGTATTCCTGTTACATTCAATTAAACAAGGCCTTGTTCTACAACTGCTCCTAGTCTACACTGTTGACCTAAGATCTAGTGAGTGATAGAAGATGCCTATCAAAGCCGAGGCCAGCAGGGATTCAGACATTCTCAAGAGACCCCACAATGAAAATTTAGAATTTTTTTCTATGGGTAAGACATATGTACACACGTCTATGCACACCCTACAAATGTATACAATCCAAGAAAGGTAGAACCTAGTTATGAGGCCAGCAGGGATTCAGACATTCTCAAGAGACCCCACAATGAAAATTTAGAATTTTTTTCTATGTGTAAGACATACGTACACACGTCTATGCACACCCTACAAATGTATACAATCCAAGAAAGGTAGAACCTAGTTATTCAAAGGAAGCATCATGTAGAACTAATTACTTAGAACTAGAAAAAGAAAAGGCAATTTAGTGCTTATAGATCTCCTAGGTTGTTGTAAGTTTTGCCCTTTTGGAGAGAAAACTGAATTGATTCCCTCAAGAAGGGCCAAATCGATCCAAGCTGAAAATACACATTTTAGTTTCAGTAAGCCATACAAGATATTCTCCTATATACTTTTCACAAAAGAAACAAAGAATCTTGAAAATCAGCACAAAAAAAACCAGAACCATCTGGAAAACTCTTTTCCCAGCTTACCCTTTTCAAAGATGCTATATTAATTTTTTTTAACCACTCACCCAAAACTCCATGTTTGGCTACTTCTGTCAAGATTGTTGCACACCCCCCATCTCATACACCACTCCTCCCTCCTACCACCAAACAAAAATTGTTTCCAACTAGGCTGTTGTGGGTTTCCAGTTCCTAGAGAATGCAGTGGAGGTAATAAAAATATAATAATAATGAAAGACAATCTGGGTCAAACCCCTGCCTTGTCAGGGCTGGTTATCTAATGTCTCCGTACTTCAGTTTTTTCACTTTTAAAAGGGGTTAAAAACACCAGCCTCACAGGGAGGTTAGGAGAATGCTGTAAGGAACAGCATTTGAAAGACACAAACTGTAAAGAGTCTCTGAAATTCAGCCTGGATTGTGGCATTATACTGTACTAGGCGTAATTACCACCGTAATTCAGTGATGGCCACTATAAAGACCTGCGTGAGGACAATTCCCTTTTTTCAAAACCCTGGGGAACTGTGGTTGCTGTTAATGCTCAGATCACTGTAAAGTCCAGCCCTGCCTGGCCATTCACAAAATGGGAACATCACTGAACTACAGCCACAGCCACTACAGACTAACTGGTTAATGTCTGCAAACTCCTTTAGCTCTCCTGGTAGGGCAACTTCTACAGAAGCACTTATTATTATTTTTACATTCATGGTCCTGAAACCACATGTCAAATTACTCATGCTCAGTATGCCACAAGGAGAGAAAATTGAAACTCCGTGTGTTCTCACAGCAGATGCTTTTGGATCAAATGGTTTGTAATTACTACTTGGATCACTGATGGGGAGTGAACAGCAAAATCACAATCTGGCTGTCACAAGTGGGCCACACCACGCAGTTGCTGATGAAAGGAAAGTCTATTAGCAAGGGAGACGAAGAAAAAACAAAAGGAGTTGCTGCTCTTGGTCTTCTTAACAACAGTAAAATGTCATAGAGGAGAAAGTGTCTAGCTAGCTGTACATATACATATGTACAAGGGTACTTATATATATATGTACTAGGGTACTTCAAAAAATTCATGGAAATATTTGCATTATCCTTTAATTCCTGTTTTTCACGAAATTTTTAAAGTATGCTTGTGTATATGTATACATATATTTTTTTAAACAGACTACCATGCTATGATCAAGAATAAGCTTTTTCATTCATATTTTCCATTTAAGAAACCAATACATTAGAGGGGTTTTTTTTGGTTTTTTTTTTTTTTCTTCCAGTTAGAGCTAATGACTAATGTGACAATATTTCATTCACTCACTGCCACAGAAATTTGGGACACCCCAAGCCAATTTTCCAGGAGACAGGGCCAAGGCCCAGGGGCTGCCACAATTTCTGCAAAGATGCTTCTGGGGTAGCTGCCATCCTGGCCTCAGTGAGGGATTTGTTGTCACAATCTCCATAACAAACACCTCCCTTTAAACGTTGTAGGAGACTACATTATTACTAAGAAGTAGCTATGAAAAGCTTTCATTTTTGGCTAGCCAAAGTGTCCTTTAAAAAAATGCTCAAATGAGACTGGCTTTATTCCAACCTTAACAGATTTCAAATTAGGGTGACTCACTGTTGCACTGTTACATGATGCACCAATTAGAGTGGAATATTTAAAATGTGCACAGCCCTCCCTCACAACCGCCTTTCTGTGTTATACGAATGGACACGATGTACTTACTGTATAAAAATAGAAGGTTTGTGCAGGATATAAATATTCTCCAAGAATAATTAGCAAAGAAAAACTAGTGAAATGGAATATTAATTATTCAACCAGCTGCAGGCAGAATTTTAAGTCCCAAAGTTATAAAAAACCAAATTAAACCCTTAGTTCTATCTGCAATTCAAACCTAGTTACCTGAGTACCACAGCAAAGAGACGACAGATGTACCATTAAAATAGTCCTATTAATGAAAGGAATTTCTTCAGTATCCCTATATCGGAACTAAGACTTAGTTAAAATAAATAGGGATAACTGTTTAGATACATATGCTTAACAAAACAGATGCAATAATACTTTCCCCTCATGACTGATAGCAATTGATAGGACTTGTCAATTAAATCACAAGAAGATAATTTGGTAATCTGTCCCCAATTTAAACAAAAATGGCTATTTTACCAAAATTTATTTTCAAAATCCAATATAAGTTCTGTTCATAGAAAGTGCTTTGATGACATAATTTCTTAACTTTCAAAGTAAGAATTTTAAATTGTTATATAATGCTGGTAGAGATAGGACCCTAAAATTAGGGACTTTTGTTGCAGATCAAACAGTACTTCTCAACCCTTAAAGGACTATATCTATTATAATTAATTAATCAACAAACTTATTAGACAACTACTATATCCTTGGCAGTGTGCTACAGATTAAGAATACACACATAATCATAGGATATATATAAATTATACAGGCCAAGGGTCCTGATTACGATCTTTCCTAGGAAACTTGGCATTATAAAAACATCAACAAAAATTAAATAAAGTCCCTGGAGGACAGTGCAATTTGATCTGGACTTTGACACAGGCTATGCATGTGTATAAAAATAAATGGGCAAGGAAGGGTAATTATTTGTTCGGAAAAGTCTGCTAAATAAAGTCCCTGGAGGACAGTGCAATTTGATCTGGACTTTGACACAGCCTATGCATGTGTATAAAAATAAATGGGCAAGGAAGGGTAATTATTTGTTCGGAAAAGTCTGCCATTTTGGTGTTACGATTTTCAAAAACAAAGAGCTGGATTTGGTTTTCTTGTCCCCCGTGATTGGTCAAATCTAGCAAATGGAGAGCAAAAACAGGAGCAACTACAGTGACATGGTCTCCTGGTACATGCCATTCATCACATAATCTGCCCTTTGCAGCCCTCGATCCCTGGAGATGGGAGGTGAAGAGGAACAGGATTTTGAGCAGAGAATTTTCTAACCTATCCTAAGCTCATCCTGTAGGAAGCAAGACATCTCAGAAAGAGCAGCCACTTGGGAGCAGTTTCAACAATGACAATAGCACACTAAGCACTTGGAGCCAACCTCACGGGGAGGCAGACTAAATGGCTGTCTATGTAATATGTTTTAGGACCACCAGAAAGCTCATCACTCACTTCCTCGGGACCTGTCACAGTGTCTAACACTCCACCATTCCTCAGTTTTTTCAAACTAAACTCCCAATTCACTGAATGATCCCCACTAACTTATTAAAGAATACTGCTTGCTTCTGCAAAGGCATATCAAGTTTGTCCAAGCCTCTTATAATGAGTTTTTCAACATCAACAAACAGCTTAGAGATCTGTTAGAAATAAAACTGAAGATAAAATGATTTGGTGAAGAAGTCAGAGAAATATATCAATAAGTTAAAACACAGTTTCAAAGGGAAGATGTGGATGTAAAAAGACACAATGAAGAGGCAAAAGCGCATCCAAATAATCTTCACCCTTTCCAGGGTTTCATTCAGAAACAGTTCTGAAGATTTGCTCAGTCAGAAGCAATTCTGGAGATTAGAAGGAGATGCTCCTCAGCTCCACTTGAGGGCACATGGAGATACAAAGGTTGGTGATACAAAGCACAGAATGTGCTATCTGTATGAAGATCCCTGACAACCCTGAGAGGAAAATATGATTTGAGATTCCCTAAACTCTCAAATGTGGGTAAGTACTGCTGAGGAATGTGGACGTTATCAATGAAAGAGGCTATTAGGATTTTAGTCAGTCACTAATTTTCAGATGGAGTTATCATGAGTTTAGATACCTCCAAAAATACTTGACATTCAGAGAATATCTCCTAGTTACCTACTAAGGACAATTTTAATTCTAAATTTGCTTTCAACAAATTCATGTGAAGATTCTGAATCAGCATTCCCCACTTAGCACTTGTGTTATTAATATAAAAAAAGACAACTGCCATCTACAGCAAAGTTTACCTCACTGGAGTTATTGAAGCTTTGAGGTAGCTGAGTTCCAGGAAATCCATGGGTGCCACTCGAATCAAATATCTGACAGACAGGGGGAGGAAAAGATTAATGAAACAGCTCTGCAATGTTCATGCTGCAGCTACTCTTTTTCAGTATTTAAAAATTCAAATTCTATAATATAAGATCTTCATATCACAATTTGTACTATCTACTATTCTAATACATTTAAAGATTTAACTTTGAAGAAAAAGCCACTTTTTTTCTTCCCATGTAGTTACATATTTTACTTTTCTATGATGTTATATGTTATTTAAGTCATACTGTATCTTCTTGAGGGTACTTTTAACCAAGAAGTATACATTTCTCAAGATGTGCAACAGACCTCAAAGTTGAGTTGGCAAAGCCACCAAAATCAAGCTTATAACTATTTTTCTAATGTGCATAGAATAAATCTTGGAAGAAAATATAGCAAAATGTTAAAGGTGGTTGTGTTTGGGTAGTGGGACTAGGAATCATTTCCTTTACTTTTCTAAATTTTACCTTCTAAATTTTGTAATAGGATAATTAACATTAAAGACCATTTAAATATTTAGGGATACCTACTAATTCAAGTGCATTCAGTTATAGAGACATCAACACTATAATTAGTTTCATATCTTTTTAAAACAAAAAAACATGTTCAACCAAATACTTTTGTTTATTAAGAAATATTATGTTCGGGCCGGCCCGGTGGCACACTGGATAGTGCGCCGCTTGGGAAGCACGGCGGCACTCCCGCCCGAGGGTTCGGATCCCACATACAGACCGGTTCCCGCTCACTGGCTGAGCGAGGTGCGGGAGCAACGCCGAGGGTTGCGATCCCGTTGCCGGTCCCCGGTCCGGTACGGGGGCAACACTGAGGGTTGCGATCCGTTGCCGGACACGGAAAAAGACAAAAAGACAAAAAAAAAAAAAGAAATACTATGTTCAGAACATTTACCACATATGCTGGGATAAAGGCCACATTAGGCTCATATCTAATCAGCTAAATGTCTACATCTAAGAAAAATAAGCAAGTTATTTATCAAGTTATCATTTGATTATATAGAATTGACTGTCTTGATTAAAATCAGAATTGCCTTCAAGGACATTAGTTAAATATCACAGAAGTTCAGTTCAGAAAGCACAGGCCCAGCACTAGCCAACGGTTTATAGTTAACTACAATCTATAATGAAGAAATATATTTTCATTTATAACCAACAAATAATTATCTTTATAATTAAATTAAATTACAAGTAGAACCACAATTTAAAATGTGGTATTATTTCTGTATATGAGTACACAAAAACAGTGGGCACATAAAAGGTTTCATGTGTGTTTGCTGTCTTTCAGTCCACTAACCCACTCCCCACCACCTCCACCTTTACTGTTTCAAGGTTTAAAACAGGTCAAAGTTGATACTAGACCTTTTATTCACCTAATTCACAAAAGTGCTACATACAAACAGCCATATACAAATTAGAAAATAAAGTTCCAATAAAATGTGACCCTTTCCTCAGATGATACAACTGAAAATATACTCAGAATAATAGCAATCTGTTGAAAATAAAAACAAGAACTTCTTCAGTGTTCGTTGTAACTGTAAATGATCAGATCATCATATAACTCATCTTTTCAACAGTCTTTGAAAAAAATAATAATCCTAAACATATCAGCAAGATTAAATTATCCTACACCATATTATAGGCATTATGAAATACTTCAGATACACATATGCAAAATGCCCTAAAAACCATTCACTGTATTTGGACCACATTTTAGCAATAAGTGCTCAGGTGATTTTTATTTGATAAAATGTTAAAAAGAGCCACCACCACTCAAGGGAAAATAAGCAGCACCAATTGTCCAGTATTTCAGGGCTTTGGACTCAGGCAGGTACAAGTCCCAGCCCTTCCACTTGGGAACTGGTCAACAGGAGTAAGTGACTTAACCTCTCCAAGTGTAAGTCTCCCCATCAGTAAAATGTGATGACAAAACACACACTTCATGTTGTGAGAACTGAGTATTGCAAAGTACCTAGCACTACTAACAGAATTTAGCTGTGGCTGCTCTGATGATAAATTTTCCACATTTATTTTAATATAAAATCTATGGTAAAATAAATATTAGTACTAAAGGCAATGAAAAGTGTGGATTATTTTCTTACGATTCTTGTTTTGTGTGTTCCTAAGCACATTCAAGGTGTGACTACCTCTTTGGGTGTGCCAAAATAGATTGGGAAACTTGTCTATTTTCATTTGGGGGAAAAAGTCCATGCTATAAAACTGGATTCCTATGAACCAACTCTTATTTCATTCTTTTTTTGTGTGCTACCCGGTATGGGGATCCAAATCCTTTACCTTGGTGCTGTCAGCACCATGTTTTTTATTTCATTCTTAGCAGAGTATGAACATTTATGATTTACAGCAGGCTGAAAATCTGGGGTTTCAAGAATTTTAATCTGCTGTTCTTCCCACACAGAGGAACTCACCTGAGTTATAGAAGGTCTTTTCTCCTTCCCTTTTCTTGCCAATGTGTCCAGTCCTTTTAATGAAGAAAATATGCTCTTCTTGTTTCTCCCTCGCTGCGTCAAAGAGAGTGTTCTTTTCCGGAGAGCAGAGTCATCTCTAGAACACACCTAATGTAAAACACAGTTTTAAAAATCTCAAAACTTATTATTTAAGTGACAGAATTAACAGTTGCTCTAACAGAAGTAAGCTCTGCTGGCTACAAATACATTCTGACTAGCGCCAATAGCTACTGTATGTTTGACATACCAGAAATGTATTTACCATCTAGATATCTCCTCTCTGGATAACACAAGCCAAGTTACAACATTCAGATGTCTCCATTACGGGCAACAGTGTTGGCAAAACATCCCACGGCCCCCCAGAGTAAGCCAGCACAATGCACAGAAGCTACCAAAACAAGAGCAATTTCAGAAAACCCAATGGAGCTCTCTTCAGTACAGATCAAAACACTTTTAATCAATCCTTTAATTCTTCACACTACTGTTGCTACTCCTCAGGGATCCCACCTTTCTGGTGGTACAAGGTAGAACAGACAGAAAGGCAGCCACAGGTATGAATGTGTAATAACTGTCCACTAGCAGTTGGAGTCCCGAAATAAGCAGTTGAGAAAACTGGGGATGCTTTAGAACAGTATATCTCCTCCCCTCCATCCCCAGGTCCCTGGCCTCTGGGTGACCCTCATCCCCAGCAGAGCTGATGACAATGGCTGGAGAAAGGTAAGCATCACAGTGCTCCCTGAATGCTGTTGAAACAGCCTTCCTCGGAAACTTACCAGAGCATGGAAAGAAGAAACAGACAAGATGCCCAACCTGCCGAGGGCCAGCTTGGAAGGGCGGCTGGCAGCAGCAAGGAGACTTTTGGGGTTTGGTAACTCCCCACCTTGTAAGCTGGCCAGATAACAGCGCATCTTGAATAGATCCATGTGAAATTTCTCCAGATTCTGCTCCCATTGCTGGATCTTAAAACAAGAACAGATGTAATTTATATAAAAATTACAAGTTCTCATGGGTCAAATTGAAAATGTGATCCCTTTCACAAGCATCAAGAAAAAATGAGTTTCACCTGGTTTGCATGGTTTAAATTAGCCTTTCCTGCTAACCCCATCTCCATCTCTCCCGCCAAGATGCCTCAGGTCATACAGCACTGTGCTTCATCAGGACAGCCAAAAAAAAAAAAAAAAAAAAGGAAGCTGGTGGTCCCAACATAGTGGCATGCCAAAATTGCAAGATCTTTGGAGAACTCCAACACTGAACCATCCCAACATCAAACAGGATGCAAAGCGTTAGTGAGCTTGCTCACTTTGTTTCATTTCTCTCCACATTTACAGCCTCTGATCTTAAACTGTGATGGAGTTTGGATGTGTTGTCCCCTCCAAAACTCATGTGGAAATTTGATCTCCAATGTGGCCATCTTGGAAACTGATTGAGTCATGGGGGCAGATCCCTCATGAATGGATTAATGCTCTCCCTGGGGGAGGAGGGGGTAATAACTTCGTATAGCATACATTATACGAAGTTATACGATTCTTTTCACACCTCCTCTCTCTCTCTCTTGCTTCCTCTCTCGCCATGTGATCTGCTTGTACCCACCAGCTGCCTGCTGCTTTTCCGCCATGAGTAGAAGCAGCCTAAGGCCCATGCCAGATGCAGCTGTCCCAGAATCATAAGCCAAATAAACCTCTTTCCTTTATAAATTACCTCGTCTCAGGTATTTCTGTGTAACAACACAAAATGGACTAAAACAAACTGGATTTACTGAATTGCACACAAACAGGCTGGATAAATGACTTTACATTTCTGTTCATTCTCAGTAAATGACTCAACAATATGAAGCAAATGGACTTCAGGAATAAGGATGAATAGAGCTTTTACTCCTATTTTAAGTGTCATGGAGAATAACCACCATCTGTACATCTGAATAAAATTAAAGTATATACCGCTATTTACACAACTGATATTCCTTTGAACTTCTTCAAAACTTAAGTCATGAGTTCATAAAGAAATATAGTCACACTCTGGAGTCCACTCTCCTTTCCTCCAAGGATCTCACAATGTGTGACACACAACTAAAATATTCTTCATTAAAAGATAAATCAATAGGTGAAGAAAAGCCCTCATGACTTGCCAATATAGGGATTCAGCAGAAAAACAGAAAGCTGTGCTTTGAAAGGACTTGAGAGCAATCTCAAAATGCAAGAGAAGGTCTGTAGTGAAGGCTTGTGATCAAGAGTTATGTCATTTCATTTGCAACAGTTGCACCTCTAGTTTTGCCATGTTCTTTAGCACCCAAATAGATCCTAACCTTTCACACTAAACTTTCCAGGTTAATCCTTAATTCTGGATAAATGATATTTTGAAAGATCTCCAACACTGAACACTATGTCGCCATCAGTCTCTCTCTATAGAAAAGTATTACAAATTCTGGGTATTCCCCAGACCCTCTCAAAGTTCTCCCTATCTATTTCTCAGCAAGGTCATTGTATAACTTACTGCATGAAAGAAAAATAATGGCTACAAGGTCTAAACAAAGAATTTGTTGACTCATCATCATTTGTCAGCAAAACAACGAAGTCAAAGAATGCACTGAAACAATCTCAATGCTCGCAATGAATTTAACCTCACTGAAGATCCTGTACATCCTATGACTGGTGTCAGCTTTGAGTGAATAGAAGAATGACCTGTCGGCTTTTAAAAATGTAGATGCCCAGGTCTTAGTCCTGAAGCTTCTATCCAGTAGGTCTGAGGCCTAGGAAAGTTTACATTTCAAAAGCTCCTCCTGCAATTCTGGTGCAGCACAGCCTTACTGAGGACCATGGTCCTAGACTAACAAGTCAAAGTGAAACTGCAAGTCTCTTCTTGGTCTTGCCATATTAGAGAATTCTAGATTCCAGAAGTTATGGATGAGTACAAATTTGACACCAACCAGAAACCATAAGACACAGTGAAAACTATAGTCCCAGTTCTATCTCACACATATCTTCCTCTCTAGATGATTTCTGAAAATCCACAATTGTAGATGCATTCCTATCTCCTCTAATAAGATGTAGATAGTTCTCAATTGGATAATGTGTAAAATCTTATCACACTCACACCTCAGTGTGAAATAGTTGATGAGATATTTTCTAGTGGTTCTGTTTAGTGTAGAAACGTTTGAGGAAAGAAAATGAATCAGTCACTGGATAGCAAAAGGTGAAGATACCCATGCCATTATGGTGCATTAAGAAGACAAAAACATAAAATAAAATCCAGGCCTGTGCAAATCATCATAGATCATAAAAGACAACAGCCTCTTACGTTTACACTGAATCCTGCAGTTGACAAAGTATTTTTAAAAGTGCTATTTAATATTTATGTGACTACATGTCAAAGCACCGCTGATAAGTAAAGACAGTTACATCCCAAATGATACACTTAAAATTTTGTCAGAAACACTTTGATAATCTTTAGCACTCATAGATCTTTCCACCAAAGCTTGGGACAAAATGCGTGTGAATTCATAGGAAGAACATGGATCCAGATGCTTAGGTTTGTTGGAGGGAAGAAGGAGCTGGGAGTTCCAATGGCCCAAAGGAAACTTTACAAAGGTCAAGATGTTTGCTAGTATGAGGGCACTTCAAAAAGTTCATGGAAAGAATCGCATTATCTTTTAATTCTATTTTTCCATGAACTTTTTGAAGTACTCTCATAAATGTGATTAAGTTTCAAGAGAACCAGTATCTCAATCCATAGTTTACATTGTAGAGGTACTCTTAAAATTTAATGTAGTAGAAAATGCAAAGGAAAAGTGACTTTATGCCTTCTCTATTTCAACAACGCTCCTTTTCCTTATCCTGATGGGAGCTGTTGTGACGGTTAATTTTATGTTTCAACTTGATTAGGTAGTAGAGTACCCAGATGTTTATCAAACATTATTCTGGGTGTGTCTGTGAGGGTGCTTTTGGATGAGATTAACATTTAAATGGGTAGACTGAGTAAAGCAGGTTACCCTCCCTAATGGGGGTGGACCTCATCCAATCAGTTGAAGGCCTGGGTAGAACAAAAAAGGCTGCTTTCGCTCAAGTAAGAAAGAACTCCTCCTGCCTGACTTCAAAATGGGACAGCTTTTTTCTTGTCTTTGGATTCTAACTGAAACACTGGCTCTTCTTGGGTCTCAAGCCTGCCAGCCTTCAGACTGGAACTACACCACTGGCTCTCCTGGGTCTCCAGCTTGTTGACTTATCCTGCAGATTTTGGGACTCATTCACCTCCATAATTGCCAATTTCTTATTTACACACACACACACACACACACACACACACACACTCTCTCTCTCTCTCTCTCTCTCTCTCTCTCTCTATTTGTTCTGTTTCTCTGGAGACCCCTAATACAGCCTTCATTCCCATAGATCTCTGTGGCAGAGTAAGCCATCATTAGTCACACATCTATTCTATATTTAAAGACAGTATTTATCTTGTTTTTTAAGGTCACGGCTTTTTCTTTTTTTTTTTTTTTCCTTTTTTTTTTCTGGTAGCTGGACAGTACAGGGACCTGAACCCTTGACCTTGATGTTATCAATACCACGCTCTAACCAACTGAGATAAAGGTCATGGTTCTTTATGGTGAGAATCGGTCAATGAGCTTAAATGAGGATTTGTGGTTGGATAAGTAACAATGAAATATTTCATCTTTCCACAGACTCATCAAAGTTATAGGGAGGGACTTGGTAGACTAAACAGGTAAAAGTATGGTGAGGATGTAGATTCAGGTGCCTCGGTTTCTTAGAGGGAAAAAGCAGGCAGAAGGGCTAGATCCAAAAACTCAAAACAGACCTTACGATATTTACAAAGTCTGTCAACATGTGCTGTAAACTTGCAAAGGAACTGATATTATCACACCTTCACTTCTCAGCAGTGGACAGTGGGGCCCAGAAGGAAAGAGACCTGATCAGGGTCCCATAATAAGTTAGCCCTTCCAGAGCAGCAAAGACTCAAAGTTGATACTGACATGAGCAGTATGTAGGGGCAAGCATGCTACCAAGCACCTATAATGTCGCACTTGAATCCCAGGTCTTCTGACTCAGAAAGCAGATATCTATCTGTGCACTATCCAAATACCTATTTCATCAACTTTCATTTAAATTTCCACCTGATTGTCAACTTCATTTCTACCCACAAGTCCGCAGGTATTCTACAGACAAGAAGGCAAGATCATCTACACTCTCATTTAGATGCCCTATTCATATTTAACATTTTGCATTTCAGTTTTCTACCAGCCTTGACATTCGAATTTAGCACAAATTTAAAGTAATGTTAACTAAAAAAGAAAGATATACTTTATATATCTTCTGGTCAAAATGGCGGAACAGACGGTACCCAATGTTACTCTCTCCCACAAATCAACCAATTTACAATTATTAAAAAGCAATTACAGCCAAGCTGGGGCCGCTAGAGCTCAGGGGAAGAGGAGGAGATTCCTATGGAGTTCATGAGGGCAGGAAAAGCCACAATGAAAGAAAGAAAGGATCACTCCTACCATTTCAAATCCCAGCTGCTTCAAGAGTGAACCTGGTGAGCACACAGAGCAAGAGCTGGCAAAAGTCACTGCTGTCCCCTTTGTGTGAAGTTGCTTGGAGGTGGCAGGGGAGAGGAGGGTCTTGGTGGCCCTCAGGCCAGCAGGACCACTAACAGGGTTCCCGTGGACCCACATAAGAGCAAGGAGCCACAGCAACAGAAAAAAGGAGCCACTCAAAGGCCAGTGAGTCATCACAAGGGACGACTGCATGGCCCGTCCTATGGGAAGTGTTTCAAGTGTGGGCAGTGGGGGAGATGGGCCGACCACAGGAACACTGGGGCACAGCATGGACAACTGATCTGCCCCTCAGTGGAGACTGGCCAGTAATACAGAACTGCAAGGGGTGCAGTTTGCTGAAAAGATCCAGGCCCAGACCAGTTTCTACACAACCCAGGTGTACCAGATCTC